TGGTCGGGCTAAAAATAGCCTCTCAGAGCCTCCCAGGCCTCTGAGCACCAATCGCCAACCACTCCTATACAACCCTAGACAGGAGTTTGTCACTCTCTACCCAATTCTTCTCGCCACACACTCACTACCACCACCCTTACTAACAACAACCCTGAAGATGATGAATCGCCATGAAACTCAACTCCAATACCTCGCCAGATGATGGTTGCTCCAACTCATCAATCGCTCCAAAGTTTGGATCCAATTGCTCCGATACCAACTGTTATGATTCTGGTTGTCTGTTGTCTAAAGACCAACACTCACTCACATAGACTCCCAGGTATGCCTATACATACTGAAGGAAGGGGAGAGGATAGGAGTATCACACCGCACAGGGAGAGATAAACACAGCGGAAGACTTGACCATGCGATATGACAGGGTACACTGAAAGTGCAATTCACTCCATGCAATCCTCACCACCAGTCGTAAAGGAAAGTCGAGTAGATCACATCCAAGAGACAATGAAACGAAGATAGTCTAAACCCAGTATCAACACTGTTTATTACACTCAGAGTCTCGAATTGTCAAAATAACTTCAGAACTATAGTGCGCTGCTCAGAAATGAGCAGCGCCTCACTCCCCAACCTTGAGAAACCACTCGTACCACCCCTGAGTTCCTGAAACATCAAGCGCCACCCAATTACTGCCTCCAGAGGGCAGCGCCACCCTGAAACAGGCCTCTGAGGCCAAGCGCCACTCGAAGGATGAAGAAGAAGACCAGCGCCACAGTATCTGATGATGACGAAGTGTCGGAAGACTTCCCGGGTGGAAGTCTGCAGCAAGCGCCACCACTCCTGACAAGATGACCTCTAAGGAAGAAGCTGCAGCTATGGCTGCACCACCACAACGCTGTAACCCTACTCCGGAGGAGGGTCCAGCAGGGCACCAACTTCTCTCACCTCCAGCAGACCTCAAATAGCCCAAACCTCTGTACAACACCGCGCGCTGACAGAGTACGGCGCAGGTCCCAGCTATGGCCGCCGCTCCAAAGGTCTGGCTATGTCTGTTTCCCTCAACGCTGACCCATCACCACTTCCAGTTCACGCGTTGCACAGCAGCGATGCACTCGGTACCAACTGCCAAGAGCCCTCAACCGATGTCCTAATCTATAACCTACACTAGCCTAGACACGACCTAGACCGGACTGACTGGACTGCCCCGTACCGTTTCTGTTTCGGCCTCAGGGGCCTCTCCCAACCCGGCTATAGGCTATAGGACCGTCTACAAGCTTAGGCCCTTAGGGCCTGTCTGTCCTAGGGGTAGCCCGGGCCTGCTATTCGCAGTTAGGATAGCTGTAGGGAATTCTAGTTAGTACGGGCCTATATTTTCCCGAATTTGCAGATATGTCCCTCACGAATTTCCTTACAGGCAGGTCTCTCGGTTAGCCCTCAGCCCAACAAAAATTACGAATCTGTCCTATGTATAGTACAGCCTTGACAGAGAGAGGATACAGGCACCCAGAAACCAGCAGGTCATTGCACAGTGCTGTTCTGTGCTGTGGTAGACCGCTGCCCAAATCCGGGACACAAAAAATGATATACAGCTGAGTGGGGATCCGGGCCGCCCGGGTGATCGGCAGGGGCCCGGGGGAGGTCCCGGGCGGCCTGGCCGGCAGGGCACCCGGTTGGGGGCCGGGCCCCCCCCAGCGCACTCACCTGTCGCGGGATTTCGGACCCCCTTTGTGTGTGTGTGTGTGTGTGTGTGTGTGTGTGTGTGTG